TCTGATGTTGCTTTCAGAGATGGATATAGTTCTCTATGGTTGAAACAACTACTAATTTGGAGCTGCTTATCACATTAACATTTACAAGCATGGGAACCCCAGCAGGAAATGAGATTACTTGTACTGCAAACACATCATCTGAAGGAGTCTTGGGGGAATTTTTTTCAATCGTGCCCAGTATGATACACAATGAAGAGTGTCAGGAACTGCCAAGATACTTTCAAGGGAGAGCCCTCTACATGTACAGCAGCTCTTTTATATTCTGGAAAGAGAACAAGATGAGTCAAAATCAGTGGCTAAAATCTCAGTTTTGGCCGTGAACCACTGCCTTAAGCACGCTTTGATATCTTAATTTCACCTCCTCATTTCTATTATAACAGTACAAATAGCCTACTGTGTAAGGAAGCTGTTGGGCACAGAGAAGGAAGTGCTCTGGTCCTGGGGGGCCAGATCCCCAGACCAGGCCAGTGAGCTGCATAGTGTTAAGAAGGGTGGGGTATTGCCCCAAGCCTTCCTTTTCATTATCCAGCCCCACTTCCAGTTGGAAGGGTGATTGAAATGAAGTGGAAATAAGATAAGAGGACTGTCTTGTGCATTGCTTGCCTTTCTTTTTCCTTTCCTTTTTTTAAAAAAAATGGAAGCTAGTGGTACATGAGGATATTCCACCACACTCAGGAGAAAAGGGTTTCAGTTATCACGCAGGATTTGGGAAAGGAGGTTCATCATCATCCTTGTGTCCTACACCAGCTAGAAAGTCTTTCTCATATTATGGGAAATTAATGAACTTTTATGATAAGGGCAATCCAAAACAACATAAATTGTTTTAGTCTAAGCATAGAAATTAGTCTGGCCCCTCATGTACTCTGAGCATTATGTACTGCTGGAATCAGATGAAGAAAAATAAGTATTAATTCAGAAGTCCCCAAATGCATAGCATTTTTGAGACGCCACAACATAAACATTGGTCCTGGCTGCACCTATTTTCTTATAGTTCGCACATTAGTTTCTCTGATGACTTAGTACCTTGCAATGTCTGAGGCTGTTCACATTTGTTGGAAGCCGCCCAGAGACCTTCGGGTAGTGTGGGCGGCATATAAGTTAAATAAATAAATAAAATAAATAAAGGGGATGGTGGGGAAGACAATAAAATAAGGTCAATCCCCAGTAGCTTCAGGATTGCAGCCCAACTGCAATATTCAAATTGGCAGCTTCTCAAAAAAGCTGTACAGATTTACTTTTTGGTATTATGACTCCCAGAGTCCCAATGAATATAGCCACTGACCATGCAGCTTGAGTATTCTGACAGTCACAGTCCAACAGTAAATTTTCTAGCTTTTTTCCTGCATAGACTAGAAAGTCTGACCACTTTGGTCAATATCATCTATGGTGTTTTGTTTTTTCATTTTGAAAATGTTGGGCCTAATAACTGCACCTCTTGCTTTGCCAGTAGGAACTGGAGACCAAATTGCTAACATGCACTGGATTATGGAGAAAGCCAGAGAGTTCCAGAAAAACATCTACTTCTGCTTCATTGTCTATGCAAAAGCCTTTGACTGTGTGGACCACAACAAACTATGGCAAGTTCTTAAAGAAATGGGAGTTCCTGACCACCTTATCTATCTCCTGAGAAATCTCTATGTGGGACAGGAAGCAACAGTTAGAACTAGATATGGAACAACTGATTGGTTCAAAATTGGGAAAGAAGTATGACAAGGATGTATATGGTCTCCCTGCTAATTTAACTTATATGCAGAATGCATCATGTGAAAGGTTGAATTGGATTAATCCCAAACCGGAATTAAGATTGCTGGAAGAAATATCAACAATCTATGATATGGTCCGGTGGGCCAGATAGGCGGGATATAAAATAAATAAATAAATAAATAAATAAATAAATAAATAAATAAATAAATAAATAAATAAATAAATAAATAA